ACAGAACTGGAAGGGACCTTAGACAGGGAAAAATGAACAGATTTTAACATATAGAATCATTTGTTAAAATGATGCATGGAAAACACTAAATTTGGCAGAGAAAAATCTGTTACCCCAAAGTTAGGCTTTTTAAAAGTCCATTTGGGGGTGGATCAGGAGTAGAATGCTTGTCTTACATGTGCAAGGACCTGAGTTTGATCCCCAGCACAGAAAAATATCAATTAATTAATTAGAAAATTAAAAGTCCATTTTAAAAACATATTGGGGAAGTAACGCATAATACCTCGTTAGGTTATTCATACAGGAGAAAAATACTGTTTGTGAATCAAAGCAGGTCAGTCTTGATTGTTGCACTGATTTTTCTTTAATTGTAATTTAGATTAGAATAGTCAAACAACTCAATTTTAAACATTTACAACTACTGAATATATTAGGTGTGAAAGGAAACCAGCCACAATTCTTAACACAGTGAATGGCTGCACTCACTCATGAAGGGTGTGATCTTGTACAAATCACCAGATCTCTCTCTCAGCCTTAATTTCCTCATCTTCGATATGGAAATCCTGGATTTCACTAGGTGAAATCTTGGCTTGTCTGGAAATTCAAACTTCTTCCACCTACTTTACCACATAAAACATTTCCAAATTATGACAATCTTCCTCCCAAATCATTAGCTCTCCACCCTTAACTTCTCCAAACTTGTTGATTCCTCCTTTTTTCTGCTGTCTCTTCTGCCTGCTAAGTCTGGCCTATCTTAAATTCTTCATTCAAAGAATTTAAATCAAAGTGTTTTATCTGGCAAATATTTAATTTTTAAATTTCTGGTTGGTGGCATCCTAGGTACTCAAAATTCCCAGAGCCTGGAAAGTAGACACAGGTTCATCTAAACTAGAGAACTTGTTAATTCCCAGAAGCTAAGGGCCCCTCCACCATGTATCTGCAAATAAAAAAAAAAATTAATGATATTAGGAGTGGAGTGTGGACATAGAAGGAAGTTTTATTCTCTATGATTGGTAGAAAGACAAACTCTGCAATCCATTAGACTTAGATTCGAATCCCAGTTCTGCTATTTACTATGTGACTAGTAATCTTTATAAAAATTAATTAATACCCACTTTACAGGATTGTTGCATTAGAATTAAATAAAATAATTACAATATGAATAAAATAATTAAATAAGCTAAAATATTGAACAGGAAGTAGATTCCTCATAATTGATAGCTAGAACAGACTTTCAGCTCTGATCAACAGAAAGCAGAAGTTCCTGCCCAGATCTCTAGGCAAGACAGAGATGTTCGGAGTAGGATTGGACTTTCCCAAAAATTTCATCTAAAATATCACCCAAAGGTATTTTCAGTCATTGATAAATTAAGTCATCAAATTGTTTCCAGGGATGAATACAGCAATAGACAGATGTAATAACCAACCTCATAAAAAATAATCTAAGCCTTTTCATTGGAAGAATTTAAATCAAAGTGTTTTATCTGGCGAATATTTAATTTTTAAATTTCAGTTAGAATAGCCTAACCTGATAACAGATGCACCCACAAGTTGACCATCTATACTAGGTGTAAAAAGAAACCAGCTGTAAATTTTAATGTAGCGAATGGCGTAAAGAAATGTGCAAACCGATCCAAATGTTTATCAACCAAGGATTCCTCTGGGACTCAGTGCCCTGACTTTATGTTTTTTTTAAAAAACGTAGAGAGTCAAGCTTTGTTCATACTTGAATTATGTACTTTGCATAAGCCATGTAATTTAACTTTAACCCATAGAACCGAAAATAAAATTAGCTCAGCGTGCAGAACAAGGAGACGGAGAGCAAGTAAGAACGTTAATCAAAGTGAAAGACTCAACCCTCGCTGCTGGCTAGCTCTGTCCTCCAGCTTGCTCTTGCCAGATTATTTTGGATACCTTGTGCTTGACTCGTCAGAGTGGCAGAAGCAGGCTCAAATGTTCACTGGGGAAAAGGGATTTGTCTTTTAAGTTAATGTCTGTGCTTACGCCCCGAGGAGGTTAATGAGGTGCACGCAATTTTTAAAAATCATAAGCGAATGCATATCTTTGCCACTTGTAATCATGACAAAGCTGAAGTAATTTAGGTAGGTGTGAGCATTTTTTTTTAAGTACAAAACAGGATTTACTAGTCGAGAATATCTGCCTAAGCAAGCTCGTCCCTCTGAATATTTTCAGCCATAGTACGTGTTTGTTTAACCCTAGCAGGTTTGGCAAACATACCAGATGTGCTGGCTGAGTGTTTTGGAACATCACAAAATAAACCAATGTATGGCTTTTCAGCTCGTTTTGACCAAGGAGAGATAGGGAACCCCACGGGAGGTTTGGAAATGGCTTGCCCTGGCATCTACTTTATAAGTGCCAGTAGGAGACCAGACCACCCTTCCCTATAAAAGGACATAACACCATACACCTCTCCAGGGAGCTTGATATGGATTACTGTCATTGTCACTGTCATTTATTATCCCAGACAGAGGAAGCAGCGACTTAGTTCAATGTGGTCAGATTCCATAATTGTGAATATTTAGCCTACATAATAATAATAATCTGTGAATGTTTAACATGAAGGTCTAGCTTTCAAATGTCCTTAATGGAGACGTTCTCAACGGATACTGAGTGGCAAATACCTAGGTGTTTGCCAACCTCCTCCTCAAAGGACCCTGCTTTATAGATGGCCTTCTATGAAACCCGTGGCTTGTAACTCAGTGTGATAGTCTCTCTGAATTCTTGGCCCCCATGGTAAAGGAGGAACTGGCCTAAGGACACTCCATTCTAATTTTCTGTCGCTGTCACTGTTAGCCAGAGCTCATAGAGCTATGATGTGGGGGTGGGGAAGATGGCTCCACCATTGGTGTTAGATCAGGAGCTACTGTGTTCGTTAGAGCCACATTTATTTCTGGAGTAGTTGTGAGAGAGATGTGCTCCAAGGAGAAGAGGACTTGCTATAGCTCAGGTATGACCTACCACGGGAACAACCCAACTCGGAGACTAAAGTGCAAGGGCTAGAGGTGGGCAGGGTACTTTCCACTCATTCAGCTAAAAATCACTTCTGTTCTGGGGAAGGAGATAGGAAGTGAGCTAGAAACAAAAGATCCAGTTGTGAAACCTAGTACCTATGTTGAGATGTCCAAATGCCCTCTCTCCTTTAAGAAATTCTGGGGAACTTGAATGTTTGGTTCACCTGATTATTTTCAGCCATTTCTTACAGAAGAGAGAGGCGCTGGAAAACGAGCAACCTCAGAAAATACCAATTCATTTTTTGCACGTGTTAAAATTAATTAACATTAGCATATGCAGTGATGCAATAGGCAATTAATGACTTTGGGGGAGATAAGAAGACAAAAAATGTAAATATTCCATATTCAAAATCCATTTCATAGCATTTTATAAAAATGTTGGCTTATATCCAGGTTCTAAGGGTGGGGGTGGGTATGGCTTCTTTGTAACTAAAGAAACAGAGTGGAAAAGAACATGTTCTGTTTCCTTAAAATAAATGACTGCTTGTTTTATATAGCATGGTAAATGAAATGCTTTTTCTGTTTTGTTTTGTTTTTTACCTGCCGGCACAATCTGGAGAAAATTTTTCTAGCAAGCTACGCTGTTTTCCTCTTTGGGGACATGGTGACACTGGTTTTGTAGCAAAATAGTATTTGCTTATTAGGCATTTCTTAAAAATCCTGAATAAGCAGCTCTTTCAATAGTTTTTGTTCCACATGTTAAACATTTCATTGCAATTTGAGCTTCAATTTTGTGTGTGTGTGTGTGTGTGTGTGTGTGTGTGTGTGTGTGTGTGTTGATAGGAAGCAATGAAAGGGGATGTGCATAAGAATTCTCGAAGGTTTTTTTTTTATTTAAAAAATTAATTCTTCACAATTCTGTATTGGTGTCTCTGCAGAAAGTGATGCCAATTTATTACATACAGCCAAACTAGGTCCCATCAATCTTGAGCAGTGGGGGTAGGGAGGTGTATTGAAGAAGACATGAAATTTGGTGTTTGAGTAGATGAGATTTAATTTTCGGGAAACATTTCACTCATAAAACGGATAGCAACCCAGCGTCGGCCCTGACCTGATGTCAATGTCATCGTACAAGCGTAGCTAAAATAAGCTTCAAAGTAAAACAAAGAACATTGCCTCTCAGCACAACACGATTTCTTCTCCTACAGTATGTACCGTCTAAAGCCTTTCGGTATTCCTATAAATGGCTTGTTACTTTTAAATTTAGCTTTCGAAGGGGGAGGGAGGAGAAAATCATTTTGCATTTTCTATGTTCTGAACACGTACAGTATGCAGCTGTAAGTCTTAGTATTATTTAGGTCAATATCCTAAATATAGCTTTTATTGTTCACGATGGTCAGCTATACATCCCAAGAAACTCAGCATCAATTTATTTTTCTGTACTGATTTTTTTTTTCTGCTGCTCATTTTAAGAAAATTCATTCCCATCTCAATACAATTCGGTCTGAAGCGGTATCTGCCGTTCTGTACTGCAGATACATTCAGCAGGATACATTTACGCTGCTTGTGGTTAAAGGTTATAGAACGGATACAGACAGCTGATCATGCATTCTTCTGCAAGCCTGCCGGCACCGTTTAGGATTTTGAAAAATAATCTAGAAATGCTATACCCTTTATCAGAATCATCCTGTTCTTTGCAATAGCTTAACAGTTTTGGTTTTTGTTGTTAGCAATTCTATGAAATTAACAGCCTATAAAATGCATCCCGGACCAGATACATACTGTATTGAAAGCTTTCTTCAAGAAGAGGATATGACTGTATTCGTTCCAGCTTATTTTCTTCCTTAGCAAAAGGATTGGTTCTCAGAGGCAGAAGGACACATGCAGTGTGCAGCAGCTCTGCTTAAGTGTGTGAAATGCCTTCTACTGTCTGGTTGCAGAATTTGGAGTTTGCTAAACAGTGTTTAGTGATTGGGCTCATCTTGCATCAGCAGTTGATGACATTTTTCTTTGTTCCCTCCTACTCAGTTGAACCAAGACTCTGAGGCTGATATGCAATGTCACTTACAACATTAATCAGATACTGCATTTAAGGTGAGCTGTCCCTTGCCTCCTCCTTCCCCGGTGCTTGTGTGCTGCATGCATTGCGTATCTTGCTCCTGCGAGCCTAAGATGGCAGGCAGGATTAGCCGGGCTTGTGCTGTGTGCATGCTGTGTACAGAATTCATTACACGTTGCCTAGTATTTCAGATGTGAGTATGTAAATGCTCTGTGTGCCATATCATCTGGTAGCAAAGATTTTTTTTTTTCCCCTCTTACAGCCTTAGGTATTTCGACATCACCTTTCATTTCCGATTCATTTGGATATTTTCATTACATTCAAAATACAATTTTACCTTCCTTTTTAAACAAAGCTAAAGAAACCCCACAAAACCCTAAAACCAAAAACAACAACAACAAAACTCTGCTACCAGATGGTGTCTCCCCTTTCTTCTTGCATTTGCTGTCTTTTAAATAATGTATGTTGTATTGTTAATTAATGTGAGTATCAAATTAAACACTTGAAACTTACATGTTTATTATGCAGGTAGGAGGCAAGGTGGAAGCTATTTTTAACTCTTATGCACTCCGTCCTGTGCAAGCAACTTGGGTTCTCAAATTTGTATTTTCAGTACTGGTATCAGTGGTTTGATTTTCAGCAAATGTGACACTGGCCTTTGCAGTGGTCAGCTCCGAGCTTTGAACTCTCAGAGGAGCAAGGGGAAAAAAAAAATTCAACACATCACCTCCTTGGTTGCAGCCTCAGAGAAACCCTGGATGAGAAACTTCTCTTTTCAGTCCTGTTTTCCTGTTGATAAATTCAGTTCCCGTGATCACAGCACATTCAAGCTGTTCTGCGTATGATTTTTTGGTGTGTGTGGCAGTTGCATCTAAAACTTGTGAGCAAGAAGACGGAGAAATCAGTTGGTCTCCATCGCCTTCCATAAAAATGGCTGAGTGTCTTGTCATGCTAGGACTGCATTAAGTGACACATACAGGTAGGTTGAAATTTGCATGTTTTATAGATTTTTCTGAGCCATGCAGCAAGATCATTAGATGCATTAAAATATGACTTTTAAAATAAAAAATAAGATAGCTGTAGTCTTTTGGGGGAAGGGTATTAAACTGGATAGCCTGTCTATTCAGATACTATATAAATGTAGAGCTTATCAAATGATTCTGCTACAAAAGTGAGATGATTCTTTTTTTTAAAAAAAAAAATCAGCTATATGATAGGTGTGGCGCCTCTAGACAACAAAAGAATTTTTTGAAAAGTCTGATGATTCAGCTTCATTTTTGCTTGAAACTAAAAGTAAAAGGGTTTTTAGAGATAATTTCAAAGAGCGCAAATAAGCTTAATAAGAAACATTAAAAATATTAAAATTTTAAGAAGCGGTCTTAAAACGTGTTATATGAAAGATGAAAATAAAAACTTATATGCTTCCAAAACCAATTTGGGATAGTATATAAGGTCACATACACTATTTAGATATGTACATATCATTTAGGGGGATGAGGGGTTACAGTCTTTAATGGGGGAAATATTAAATATAGATGGCCCTCTTAGAAGAAATAGAGCTTCACTAAGTGAAATGGAGCCCCTACAATGGCTCATTACAGACCATGGAGTTGTGGTTCTGTAAGAACCAAATTTTGTCATTTAAAAAAAAATAATTTCATGAGCTCTTTCCTTTCAGCTTAACTTCTCAAATATATTTTAGTTTCAAATTAACACTGGGCCGGAACCTGTTTCCTTGGTAACCAAAGCGTATTTAAAAATGCAATAACAGATATGCAAAAGAATGTGTTTTTAAAGGAAACAAATATTTAATGAACCTTGTGCAGTTGTTTCCTCTCATATAGAACCTGATCTGATTTTAGACGTTTTAAAAATGCGGTCTTCAAGCCTTAGAGATTAAACCATATTTCTAAATATATAGAGAAGGCTTGCACAGTGACAAGCTTTCTTCTTCCTCCTTTGTGCTCAGTACTTTCAAAATTAAGGTTTCCTTTGTACTGTGCTCCAGAGTGCAGGTCAAGGTTGGTGCACAGAGGTGTAGTTTCATTATCACGAGTTCACCAGCGCCTCTGAAACAAAAGATATTTCAGAAATTCTGAGAATCAGAAAATGCTCGTGCTCCTGTTTTTCCCCATCCCTCCACTGGTGACCCCTGAGCTCTGAATAGTGAAGGACTCAAAGCCAAACCTACCCCCCCAACGGCAAGTGCACGTTGAGCTTCTATAAAGCGTCTTAGTAGGTGTGTTAGGAGGAAGACTAGCAGCCTGAACCTCCTGGAGGTTTGCTCCCAGTGAAGAACGTGGAGACTCAGGGGCATTTGTGTAAATAGGTGCTTTATTCTAGCAGTTTGCCTACGTTATCTGTACAATCAAGCCTCTTGTGGGCTCCAGAGTGGTGGTAGTTGTTGTTGTTGTGTTGTTTTGAGGCCAACTAAAGTAGTTTGCTTGGAATCTGTCTCTGGCTCAATTACATTAGAACATGATTCATCTCAGAGTGATTTCGTGCTCTAGGCTTCCCACGAAATATCCTTCCTGCAACACCTTTTTTTTTTTAAAGCTGTTTGGAAGCCATTTTCCTTCTTGCCTGTGACTTAAAATGACTAAGTACATTTCGAATATAGTATCCATCAGATCGTGAACTGAAGGGAAATGTCAGAAACCTGATTCAGTATTGCCATTTATTTTAGTAGCAGTAGCATTAACAGTTGCAGCAGGATCCGGCTAATTGTCATTTGCTCTTGAGCAAATAGCGAGCCAGGCATTTGTAATTAAAACACCATTGCTATTCAGGAAGATTACAACTACAAAGTCTTCTATTTTGATAGGCCAGTACAAATTAATCATTTTGAACCCATTTGAATCTTAATTATAAGATTAGATGGATGCGATGTAATTGTTTTTACCATAAAATGAATGCCTGAGAGATTCAACATTTATAGATGTCGATCCTTTTGTTTTTAACTCAGGGATGGTTGCATCATCTTGTAGATTTTCATACCTAATGATTTCTTTTTTAATGGCATTATTCATTTTGGTTGCTCTTGGTCGTGCCTAAAAGAATTTTAAATACAATTTGAGGAGCCAGAAAGCCAAATAAAGCCTGTTGGGAAGTGTATTGTACCATTCTAATAAATAGACTATTCTAATAAATAGACCAGTGAATAGAAGCGTAATTATTATTTATTACTTTGTTGTGTTTCGCCTAATACTCTGCCTTCATATTTCACAGAAATATTTACAAGGCACAAAGCTTTTCTAAACTTACCCATTTACAATTATTATTGGATTTCCTAGATTAGCAGAAAATGATTCTTGCTGATTGAAGATGGCACTTACCCCTTTAAACCTCGCTGTTTGAAAGACTATGCTAACCCCATTCACACTTCTTGGCTAAGGTGTTTATACTGGGCAGGCCAGAGCAGGTGGGACAGGAAGAATGTGCAAACAACGGCTTTGTTGTCACCAAAATGAAATGGGCAAACGTGTGGTTTTCTGCCTGGATGCTTTGTAGTGTAAAATTCTCAACTCTCCCCCCTCACCCCATTTGGAGAATGGGAAAGGTTTCTTTCCAAGCTTTGATTCAGTGGGAGTACAGGATTTCAGCTCTTGCTACTACAGTGAGGTTGAGCTATTTCAGCCACTTTTACCGATCCCCCGTATACAGGCTGGTAGTCAGACCGTGACTTAGTATCTTTACTGCTTTGATACGTGAGAAAGATCTAGGAAAAGATCCAGCATCTTTCTCTTTGGTACTAAATCATGCTAACCTCTGGGTTTCTGGTAGCGTGTGGCTCATTCCAACTGCTTCCTTCTAAGAGAAGTGCTATTCTAAACAGCCTTCTTGGTAATTAAACAATTAACACATTTACTGAGCACCTACTATATATCAGACATATTCCACAAGCCAGAGAGAGATAGCAACGGGCAAGACAGACCAGAGCCTGCTTCTCATGGGCCTGTCTGTACTATGGCAGGACAGGAGGTGGGAGAAGTAGGCAAAAATAAAGACGCCAATGAATAATTAAAGAAGAAAAGTGCGAAAACGAAAAATAAGAAATTAAAAAATGAACACAATCCGTTCCAGAAAGGATGGCCACTGGAGAATGGCGGGTCAGAGAAAGTCTCCCTGGGGCGGGAGCACTTGAGCAGAGAGCTGCCTGGTGCGAGGAGCCCACCGGGTGGAGGTTTGATGGGGCCTCACCAGCAGAAGAGGACTGAAGCTCAAAGCCTCAGACTCTTCTTTCTTTGTGTACCTGCGGCTCTCTCAGAGCCAGGTCTGACCACTGCACGACTGAGCCTTACTTAGGTAAGCTCTCCCTCAGTGGGAGAGTGGCCCAGGCGCTGGTTTTTGACAAACTCCTAGAGGTTGGTGCCAGTGAGGTCATTGCCTCTGACCCAGTTGCTACCCTGAAAATGCCTATGAAGGTGAAGGTACCATGAAACTCAGGACCTTGCAGGCCTGGGTAGTGATGAAATCCTGGCACAGATTCTATGCCAACCCAAGAAAGGCCTTTCGGAACAAGAAAAATTCTGGGAAACTTCTTGCTTTGTTTTTTACAAGAGCTCCAGAATTTAAACTCACAACAAAGCACATAGATAGCCATTGAATTTTCTTAAAAGGCAAAATGGCGGAAGGGTCTGTCCCATCTTATCGAGAAGCTCTCTCTATCCTAGAGTGCCCCCCACCAGAGAGATTTATTTCAGGTTTCACCAAAATTCTCTAGCTCAGCAGACCTCTTTGCCTGTGGGTGTTTTGTTTTAAGACCTTACTGCTTAGCAGTGATTTTTCTCTATTCCACACAGCAAACAATGCTGAGAACATTCCTTTTTTTTTTTTTTTTTTTAATATTTTTTAGTTGTCAATGGATCTTTTTTTTTTTAAAAAAAAAAAAGAAAAGAAACATTTGAAATACCACAGTTTTAATCGTGAAAGTCTCTAAAGACTTATGTGTTAAAAGTTTGGTCCCAGCTTGTGATGTCATTGGGAGGTGATGAAGCCTTTAGAAGGTGAGACCTTTTATTTATTTATGTGCAGTGCCAGGGATCGAACCCAGGGCCTCCCACATGCCAGGCAAGAGCTCCACCACTGATCCACAACTCCAGCCCCTGGTAAGAACATTCTTAAGAACCAATACTCTTTCATGCCTTTTAAGCTGGTCAGCTAACAAAGGTCAGAGAACAAGGGATGGGTTTGTTCTACCAGTTACAAACCATAAGGTGTCTTCAGAGCCTTCTGGATATTCCAGAAGCACTTCCAGAATTGTTTTATAATTTAGCAGACTTTGCTTAGCATGGTGGAGATGGCCTGCCTGTCTCCTTGTACTTCATTTGGTTTTGAGAATCATCCCACTACATGCAGATAAGCTTCTTCTAGTCCTTTGTAGTAGAACCTTGCTGCTTATCAACAGGGGAGAGGACTTCAACCATTTGGTTCATTTCTTGGGGTATTTGTTGAACATCTACTATGTGACAGACACCACTATAATCTAAGTAGAATGGAATATTGACATGTTGCCTATGGGAGTCCATCCAGGTTCCCACATAAGGCTAGGGCATGATGTGGACAGTCACAATTGTGTGTCCTCCCTGTTGCAGAAAGAAATGAATAGGATGCAGTTTTCTTGGTGGTCTTTGTTACTATTCCCTGAAGTCTAGTCTTCAATTGGGGGCAGATCAGCCCATGACAAAGACAGTTCTTCACTTGGACCTGTGTTTTGTTCTCACCACTTTCTCAAGATGCCTTGGCTCCTAATAAGCCACCGTATGTCTGGCTGCCCTTCTCCAAGCTGGTCTGCCTGCATTGCCAGGTGACCTCAATAACGGCTGCCACTTTTGCATTCATGAGCAGATGTTAAGTTGAGAAGCCCCTGAATGCAGAAATTTGAATTTGTGATGCAGGCAAGATGCTTTTGCTTTTTACCTTCCCCAGCTGACAAGCAGGGTGGGAGTGGGGTTCTCCCAGCTGACTGTCCTGCAGAAG